AAGATGGTGTATATGTTAGAGCAGTGGTGACGAACCTATGGCATGGGTGCCAGAGGCGGCACTCGGAGCCCTCTCTGTTGGCACACGTGCCGTTGCCCCAGCCTTGCCTCCACCCGTGATCCCCTCCTCTCCAGCAGCCTCCCTGGAGGAGAGTCGCCCCTGAGCGTGGCCCACACGGAGCAGCGCAGCCAAGGACATGGCAACCAGGCAGTGTAGACAAGACTCTGCCCTCACGCCCCAACGCGCACAGTTGATGCTGCGGTGGGTGGGCAGAAGGCGTGGCTGCCATGGAGCTGCTGAGCTGCCTGGGCGATCTGCGGCGGGCCCTGGAGGCGGTGAGTGGTCCTGCAGGCAGGAAGGGTGGGGCGGAGTGGGGGCAGGGCAGGGGGTGGAGCAGGGACGAGGTCAGTTTTTGGGCACTCAGTCTCTAAAAGGTTCGCCATCACTGTGATAGAGAGTCATAAAAATTATTAATGGTGAGAATGAAGCAATCGCAATTTCTCCTCTCATAAATTCACTGGGCAGTCCAGTGAAACCAAGGACGGACAATTTTGTTCAAACGGAGTCAAACTACAGAATTTGCTATCAGAAAATTCAGTGACAACTCATGGAGGATACGGATACAGTTTTCTGCCGTTTTCTTGGGATGGTTTTTCAGTGGTTTGCCATTACCTTGTTTCTAGGACTGAGAGAAAGTGACTGGCAGAAGGTTACACAGTTGACTTCATGCCTAAGGTAGGACTAGAACTCATGGACTCCTGGTTTCTAGCCTGGTGCCTCAAGCGCTACACCAAACTATCTCCCTCTCAACCCCAGGAAGCGGGTGAGAGCAAGCTGGAGATTTTGCTAAGAAACCTGAAAGGACCTGTGGACAAGAGTCAACACTGACTCAAAGCAACCCCGTTCTCCCAAAAGGACAGCAATTCAAAGCTTTGTGGCTATAAGCTGCAGTTCATTAAAATTTGGAATTAAAAGTTCCCAACGTTCGCAAGTTCATAAAATGTGTTGTTATATGCTCTACAACAGGGGTCTTCAAACTTGGCCCTTTTATGACTTGTGGACTTCAACTCCCAGAATTCCTCAGCCAGGCACGTGTGCCTGGCTGAGGAATTCTGGGAGTTGAAGTCCACAAGTCATAAAAGGGCCAAGTTTGAAGACCCCTGGCTCTAAAAGCTTAATTTAAGAAAATAATAATAATAATAAAACAAATGAATACTAACTTGCAGAATTCTTTGCATCTGGGAGCTTTGGTGGTACGTTCTCTCCCACAAGGTACTTTGAGAACCGTTTTACCACAATTGCACTTCACATCCACAGTTTCAGGGCATGGATAGCAGCTGCCTAAAATTAATATATGTGTTATAAATTACCAGTTTAGAAATAAGACAATTAACAAATTTTGGAAAACCACTGGTAGCTATCACGCCTCATCTCTCCCGATCAAAGCAACTGAGACTAATTATATCAGGCACACAGTCAAGACCAGGGGTCTTCAAACTTGGCCCTTTTGTGACTTGTGGACTTCAACTCCCAGATTTCCTCAGCCTGGCTGAGGAATTCTGGGAGTTGAAGTCCACAAGTCATAAAAGGGCCAAGTTTGAAGACCCCTGGTGAAGACCATACGAGACCTTCATTCAGAGATTTGAATCACGTGTGTCTATTACATATTTACAATGCATCTCAGCCAATAATTATTCATGAATAATCATCTATTAAATGATTAAAGGAGGTGCGATGGCTCAGTGGTTATCTATTACCTATTTACAATGCATCTCAATCAATATTATTCATGAATAATCATCTATTAAATCAGTGGCCCCCAACCTTTTGGGAACCAGGGACCAATTTCGAGGAGAGAGGTTTTTCCAGTAGATTGGAGGGGGCCTGGTTTTCCACGGTGCCTGTCCCGCGGATGGGGCTTCGCTTGTTTGCACGCCCCAGTTTCTGGCATGCGGTGGCCCGATGTCAGTCCGCATCTCAGGGGTTGGAGACCCCTGTATTAAATGGTTAAAGGAGGCGGGATGGCTCAGCGATTATCTATTACATATTTACAATGCATCTCAATCAATAATTATTCATGAATAATCATATATTAAATATTAAACAGGGCTCAAAACTGGAAGAAGAATGCATTACCTACTATGGATGACTGGAGAATGAAGGTGTCGTACTTTGCAGAAATGGCTAAGATTTCCGCATACTTGAAAGATCAATCTCAAGAAAAATTTATTTTGGTTTGGAGAAGATGGATAGATTATATTCAGAGAAAGTATGAGATGAATAAATATTATATAGCTTTTGAGTAGACTTTATATTATTTTTATTTATTTATAATTTATGTAATTATATTATTATTCATTATATAGTTATTGTATATATCTTATGGTTATGTTAAGTTGATATTTGTTTATTTGTTTTTAGAGTTAAAGTATGTTTATATTTGATTGTATCATGGTTGGGTAGTTTTAATTAGACTTGGGATGATATGTGCTTAACCCTGTACTCAGTTCTGGGAAGTCCGGGGGGGGAGGGGGGATGAAGGAGGGTAGAGATATGTAAAAGTTGGTGTATTAAAATGTTGTAGAGAAATAATGTAAAGTTTTATGAAAAGGAGATGCTTGGCTGGTACCCCCAAACTGCATCCGAAGGATGAGGAAAGGAAGGAGGTGGGATCTGTGGGGTGGCTGGAAGAGAGGAGAGAGGTGTAGGTAGGAGGATAGGAGGGGAGGAGGGAAGTAGGTAGGAAGGGTGAAAGAGAGGGTGGATGCAGGGGGGGGGCTGCTGAGCTGCTCTGAAATTTTTATGTCTGTATTTTTTTTTATTATTGTATACCATATTTGTATTAAGACTTTGGGGGGCGGGTTAGTTGAAAAATTAATAAAAAGTTTTATTGAAAAAAAAATATTAAACAGGGCAGGATGGCTCAGCAGTTAAATACACTGAGCTCTTCAGCTGAACAGCTGACAGCCTGGGTTCGAGACTGAGTTCTGAGCAACGGGGTGAGCTCCTGTCCTTGCTCCAGCTCCTGCCTAACTAGCACTTTGAAAGCATGCAAATGCGAGTAGATAAATAGGTACCTTCAATAGGAAGGTAACGGCGTTTCATGCACCTTTGGCATATAACCATGCTGGCCACATGACCACAAAAATTGTCTTTGGACAACACTGGCTCCCTCGGCCAAGAAACAGAGAGGAGCACCATGCCGTAGACCAGGGGTAGGCAACCTTGGGCTCTTTTATGACTCGTGGACTTCAACTCCCAGAATTCCTGAGCCAGCATGGCTCAGCTTGGAAACCTCTCCCTTTCCCCTCAGCATGGCTGGCTCAGGAATTCTGGGAGTTGAAGTCCACGAGTCATAAAAGAGCCAAGGTTGCCTACCCCTGCCCTGCCCTAGAGTCAGTCACAACTGACAGGGAAACCTTTAACTTTACATTAATCATCTACAGGTAGTCATCAACTTACGACTACAATCGAGCCCAAAGTTTATGTTGCTAAGTGAGAAATTTGTTAAGTGAGTTTTGCCCCACTTTAAACTTTTCTTGCCACTTTTGTTAAGTGAATCACCACAGTTCTTAAATTAGTAACACGGGTTTTATGTGAATCTGGCTTCCCCATTCACTTCGCTTGTCAGAAGGTCGCGAAAAGGGACACTGCAACCGTCATAAATGTGAGTCAGTTGTCAAGCATCCAAATGTAAATCAAATGACCATGGGGATGCTGCAATGGTCGTAAGTGTGAAAAATGAGAAGTCACTTTTTTCAGTGCTGTTGTAACTTCAAACGGTCGCTAAATGAACTGTTGTAAGTCGAGGACTATCTGTATTAGAACAATTATACTAAGAGCTATCTTTCTGTAATTTCTTAAAAGTTCAGAAGAGAACCCATTAGATTTCTGGCTTCTATGTGGAACCTCTTTTCAATCAAAAGTGGCCACAAAGCATCTGTTTTTGATTGGCCCAAAATTAATCTTTCTACCTCATTTGTTTCTCCAAACAAATCTGAAGGACTTTCTGTGAGCAGGCGATACAATGGAAGCTAATAATAATGTGGAAAGCTTATTCATCATCTCAATGTCTGAGCCATGTTTTCCTCAAGCCGAAAACTAGCAACTAAATTATAGGATTATTCTTGTGCAATTTTCATCAATATGATAAATGCTAAACAAACTGTTCCTCGTGTTCTGTAATTTTTTTCCCATCCAACTATTTAATTCAAGGCATTAAAAATAAGAAACAACTTAAATGATGTTATTAGAGCTAGTGGGGATTTTTTTTACTATTTATTCTTTAAGATGTTTCATTCCTGTCTCATCTCTTGACACAGACTTATCAAGAAAGAAAATTAACAAGGCAATTAAACTGGAGTGAGAGGTTTTAACCTACCGTACCTTATCACAGATAAGACAGAATTTTAGATTTCAAAATACACCTCCAAATTTGGGTTTGGTTTTTCTGCAGATCAGAGCTCAGTTGTTGTTTTTTTTAAAGTGCACCACAGCTTTAAAATAGTGTGGTTTGATACTGAAGCAGTAGGCATGAACTTAAATGGACTCCAGAAGATGGTAGAGGACAGGAAGACCTGGAGGAACGTTGTCCATGGGGTCGCGATGGGTCGGACACGACTTCGCAATTAACAACAACAACCTATTGCCACAGTTGAAAATTCAAGGGTCAATCTGTGAATGATGCATTTTCATGGCGCTTGGGCTGAAATTTCAAAGGTTGGCTTTATCTGTGATTGTGTGCAGTAAATGTTTCGCAACTGCAAGCAAGGACTCGGGCGCCATTTAGTTTAAAAGAGAGGTAGTCAACCTTGGCTCTTTTATGACTCATGGACTTCAACTCCCAGAATTCTGGGAGTTGAAGTCCACGAGTCATAAAAGAGCCAAGGTTGACTACCCCTGGTTTAAAAGGTTGTAAGCAGGATTTCCAGCACATTCTTACCTCTGTGGCAGACTGAAGGACACTTGTGGTTACGACATCCTAACATTCGAGCACAGACTTGGTCACATGGTGGACAATTTGCAGGACAACACTGTATCAAAGATATAAGTTCTCAGATATAGAGACTGCTATAAGAAATTGCAAGTCTATGCAGATTTCCCTGACTAAATGCTATTATGTGCAGCAGGACTTAGTTCTAAGCAAGCATACGTAAGATTCATGAACAAGCATACATAGGTTTTACTGAACACCATCAATAGTCAGATTTTGTGAGATGGGTGGCCATATAAATATGATTTACCAATAGTCCTCAACCTGTGCCTGGTTGCTTAACAACCATGATGAGTCACAAAAAAGGCCATAAAATCAGGTCAGTCACACGTATCACCTGATTTATGATCATCATGAGTTATGACCATGATGAGCAGGCTCCACTGTAGCCATAACGTGAAGACTACCTATATAAATAAATGAACAAATAAATGAAATTATCATTAACAAAAGTTATGTTAATAATTGATTTTATTTGGAATAACTCCATTCCCTCAGCATATTCAATCCTGACAAAGCCTGAGGAAAGAAGTGGCCCTTATACCTTTTCTACCGGTGTCTTTTAACACTTCTGTAAACAGATCTAGATCTAGATCTACGAATTTTCCCTCTTTTGTACAGAGGGAACACAAAACAGAGGATTCAAGGGAGAGAGGGATTGATTTTAAAAGGGATAATAAATGTGCAACATAGCAGCAGGAAAGCCTTCAGCATTTTCTATTTTTTTCCCCTTAAATCAACATTTTGTCCCTCTTGCCAACATGCTGGCGGGGGAATTCTGAGAGTCAAAGTACACACATCTCAAAGTTGCCAAGTTTGAAAAACACTACCTTAAATTCCATTATTTGCCAACTAGATTTGGTAAAAAGCAAATAGCTTTCTAAATTGCTTTATACCTTACAGTACCAACCTTGTTAACTCTCAAGTCTTTTTTCCATATATATATATGGAAAATATATATATATTGGGTGAGGCACCCGGTCTACCAAATATAAATCAGTCTGTTCTGTGTTAAGAACTTTTATCTCTAAATTATTATTATTAAATTATTTATTCCCTGGTGCTCACGTCTATTGACTGACTTTGAACATATATATATATATATATATATATATATATATATATATGTATGTATGTATGTATGTATGTATGTATGTATATGTATACGTATATGTATATATGTATGTCTGTGTTTGTATGCATGTTTGTGTGTGTGTATATATATATACATATATATAGGTCTTGGCGTATTCGGGTCTTTTCCCATGTAAGATTGAGAGTATCTTGGCGACGTTTTGACGAGGTCCCACTCGTCATCTTCAGGCTGGGCTCTTCGGCTTCATGCTTGTGCAAGCAAAGTGTGATCGGAGCTGCCGTCTCTCTATAAATATTGGTGTGGGGGGGTGTGTGGAGTGCTGGCTTAGTTGCTGTAGGTGGATTGGTTGGCTGTGTGGATTGGTTGGCTGTTATTGTTTGTGGAATATTCAGCACAAGCACGAAGCCGAACACCCTAGCCTGAAGATGACGAGTGGGACCTCGTCGAAACGCCGCCAAGATACTCTCAATCTTACACGGGAAAAGACCCGAATACGCCAAGACCTACATACCTGTACCCATGAAAATCTACGAAAACAAATACATATATATGTATATATAAAAAGAGAGAGAGAGGAGAGACAGAAGAGAGAGTGTATATATTTGTACATGTATGTGTATGAGTATGTGTGTGTGTATTCTTTTGAGAGCAGGCATCAGAATTTCATTTTTTAATGAACGCCAGTGTATTCACAGGAAAAATTCCTATCTTAGCAGCGAAGTATTATTTTCCTTTCAGATTCTTCATAATCTTATTCAATAAAAATCATTGTCTTCAGAGTCTGCTGCCCTTCCTTTGAAATGGAAATACCATTATTTCTTGAATAACATTATTCCTAATTTTTTTTTTAAATGAAAACGCAGCTTTAAAAAACATACATTTCACATACAAGATTATTTCACGTACCAGGAAACGTGGAAGCTGCTTTGTATTCTTTTTCAGCATATTTCTGCATGCAATCACATGGTTTCATAGACCCAAAAGGAATTTCAACATTAAATGTCAATTTTGTTCTAAAATACAGCACTCATCTCCAACATTTACCTTTCTTTTGCACTGGTGTTTTTGACAATCCCGTATTTTTGTACACTTGGTGTCACAGAGGTATGGCTTATGGCAGGGCATCTGTTTCATATGCTTCCCACAACGACACTGCTTTTCAACTTCCTATTAAGGTACAATGGAAAGAAACTAAAGCTGGCATGCATTATGCAGGTCAAAATCTAGTTACTTAACTGATAAAAAATTGGATGATATGCAAAAATAACCCTTTAAAGCAGGGGTGTCAAACTGCCGGCCCGTGGGCCAGATGCGTCATCCAGAAGCGCGCTCACCCCATTGCCGACAATGGCAAAACCGTCCCGATATGTTGCGCGATGTCACATGACGTCGCAAGTTTGACATGTCTGCTTTAAAGGAAAAAATGAGCAGATTAAAATAGTCTCACAACTGAGAGGAAAAAACCCTTAAATTTATATAATTATTATTTATTTTACCTCAGTATACATTAACATTTTGGAATAATCTCTCACTCAATTTCTGGGGGAAAAATAGTTTATGGGGATCCCCCTTTTACTGATTTTGAACCAGTTATTCACACATTGTTCCTGTCTTATTCAGTATGAATGACGTTCCAGGTAATTATGTATTATATTATAATGTGATTAATTATAATGCCATTACAGGACCAGAATTCAGCCGAAAATTTCTGAGGCTAAGCGAGACTTTTGTTAAGTGAGTTTTGCCCCATTTTATGACCTTTCTTGCCACAGATGCTAAGCGAATCACTGCACTGTTAAGTTAATAATATGGTTATTAAGTAAATCACGCTTCCCCATTGACCTGCCTAGTCAGATGGTCGCAAAAGGGGATCACGTGACCCGGGGTCACTGCAACCATCATAAATATGAGTCAGTTGCCAAGCATCTGAATTTTGATCAAGGGACCACACGGATGCTGCAACGGTCCTATGAAAAAAATGGTCATAAGTCACTTTTTTAATGTTGTCATAACTTCAAATGGACACTAATGAACTGTTGTAAGTCAAGGACTATCCGTTTTTGAATCAGCTTCATTTAAATATGCTCCTAAACATTTCCCCAAGCCATTTTTTCACATAATTACTTGAGCATTATCTTGTTTTTGAACAAAAGAAACTAGAAAATACAAGATGTGGAAGCCTCTTAGTTCACACCTAGAAATAATGGAGATAGGAAGTTTTTGGACTCAGTGAGAAGTGAATGTGTGAAGGAAAAAGAATTTAGTGCCTCAGGAATATACACTGAAAGAAGACCTTTCAAAATAAAACAATGCGAATCTATTCAAAAGAACCTAAAGGGGAAGAAAATTCTAACCTGTCTACAAATTTCGCAAGCACCTCGATGGCAGCGTTGTGAACATCTGTGAATCCCACATTCAAGATCTTTGTCACAACTATCTCCACAAGTAGGCACATCTTCAGTACACGGCAAAGAAAATTCTAAAATAAAAATGAAATTGAAACTATACAAATTGTAGCCATTTAATATACCGATGGAAAAAAAGCAAGGTGGTATTTTCACGTGTTTTTTGCATTTATCTAAAAGAAGTGTATTGCTTCAAGACATGGTGTTGTTTTGAAAATCTTGATTTTTACCGCCATGATCAAGTGGGTAAACAGTACCAGGCAAAAGTGCTGGACATCCCTTTCAGCAACTTTTCAATAACCCAGTTCTTTGTAGAGTTTTAACTAATTTCATTTTTCTGTCTTTCGCTCGTTTTTAATGCAATTTGAATCACAACTGTTTTAGGAAAATTGTATTAATCAAATAACTTCACAGGTGAATAAAAAAAAAACAGCGGAGGAGGAAACTTACTTGATTTTCCACAAGGACAAGACCTTTTCCCAGATCTGGGACATTCACCACAGGAGCCGCCATGACAAATTTGTTCACAGACATGATAACCACAAGACAAGGTTCGTCCACAAATCTGATGAGAAAATACACACAGCAATTGCAAGTTAAGGGGGATAGAAACTTCTCAACAAAATACAAGAAGAAAAAGTAAGTTCTCCAAATACGTTAGTACAGTGGTGGCGAACCTATGGCATGCGTGCCAGAGGCGGCACTCAGAGCCCGCTCTATGGGCATGCGTGCCGTCGGCCCAGCCCCGCCTCCCCCCGTGGCCCCCTCCTCACCAGCAGCCCCCCCAGAGGAGAGTTGCCCCCGGGCACGGCCCGCACGGAACAGCATAGCCAAGGACATGGCAGCCAGGTAGACTCCGCCCTCGCACCCTGTCGTGCGCAGATGATGCTGTGGGGTGCGGGCGGAGGGCGTGGCCGCCATGGCGCTGCAGGGCCGCCAGGGCAATCTGCTGAGGCGGGCCGTGGAGGTGGTGGGTGGCTTTGCAGGCAGGCAGGTGGGGCGGGGGTGAAGCGGGGGACGGGGCAGTTTTTGGTCACTCGGTCCCTAAAAGGTTCGCCATCACTGCGTTAGTACATAAAAAATTAAAACATAGAAATAAATTATTGAAAGCTCCACAGCAAGACCTGGTCTACTAATGTTTTAGACTACAGTCCTATAATCCCCAATCAGCATAAACAATTTTCCAGTGAGGAATTAATGGGAGTGAAGGAAACTAATGGGACTGGGGGGACCTGTCCTATATCATGGAATAAAGATGGGAAAACTCTAGTTCATAAGTTATGTTGTTGGGTAACATCTCTGAATACAGATAGTCCCCAACATACGACCACAACTGAGCTGTTACTAAGCAAGACAGTTGCCAAGTGAGTTTTGCCCCATTTTACAACCTTTCCTGCCACAGTTGTTAAGTGAATCACTGCAGCTGTTAATAACACGGTTAAGTGAAGCTGGCTTCCCCATCGACCTTGCTTGTCAAAAGGTCGCAAAAGGTGATCACATGACCCCAAGATTCTACAACCGTAGTAAATAGGAATCAGTCACCAAGCATCTGAATTTTGATCATGTGACCATGGGAACGTTGAACAGTCGTGTGAAAAACGGACATCAGTCACTTTTTTCAGTATCACTGTAACTTAGTCACTAAACAAACTGTTGTTAAGTCAAGGATTATCCATCATTGGCCATTGTAGCTAAGATTAATGAAAATAGGAGTCCAATGACATTAAGAGGCTCATCAACACCCCCATGTTTGGACTAAAGCTTTTAAGTTATATCTGGTTTCTAGCTGAATAGTTTGAAGATGCATTCCTTTGATCAGGCAGGACAAGAAGCAACGGATGGAAACTAATCAAGGAGAGAAGCAACCTAGAACTAAGGAGAAACTTCCTGATAGTTAGAACAATGAATCAGTGGAACAACCTGCCTCCAGAAGCAGTGAATGCTCCAACACTGGAAGTTTTTAAGAAGATCCTGGACAGTCATTTGTCTGAAACGGTATAGGGTTTCCTGCCTGAGCAAGGGGGTTGGACTAGATGACCTTGAAAGTCCCTTCCAACATCATCATCATCATCATCATCATCATCATCATCATCATCACTTTGTATTTCAAATAGAGGTCAACTAAATTTGACTCTTTCAGTACAAAAATATTGATATTGTAACTAGGAAAATTCTCATCATTATGATAGCTGAACAAGGAAAGGTCTGCAGATGGGAGATTAAAGGCCTGGAGACTAAAACATGAAGAACAGTTGCAGGAGTTGGAAATGGCCAGGCTAGAGAAAAGAAGGACTAGCGGTGACATGATAACAGTATTCCAGTATTTGAGGGGCTGCCACCAAGAAGAGGGAGTCAAGCTTATTGTCCAAAGCACCAGAGGGCAGAACAAGGCACAATGGATGGAAACTAATCAAGGAGCGAAGCAACCTGGAATTAAGGAGAAACTTCCTAACAGTGGGAACAATTAACCAGTGGAACGACTTGCCGTCAAAAGTTGTGAGTGCTCCATCACTGGAGGCTTTTAAGAAGAGACTGGACAACTACTTGTCTGGAATGGTATAGGTCTCCTGCTTGAGCAGAGGGTTGGACTAGAAGATCTCCAGGGTTCCTTCCAGCTCTATTCTGAATTGGAGATCATTTCAAATTCACTGCAGGTATGTGTCAACAAGCCACACTGCAATTGTCAGTATTGAGTTCCTGAACATCTGAACTGGAACATTTTTTTCCCTACTTCAATCTTAAAACCTCTGTTCTTACTGTTAATCCACATTTTTTTCTGGACAATGAACTATGGGGGTTATTATGATAGGTAATAATATTGTAAACAGATCGGCTGTTTATAAAGGAACTTACCACATCACATTGCCAGAAAGGACTTGCACACTGCCTTTCTGCTATTTGTTTACCACAGACACAACTTTGTTTACTGACTCTTGGACACGGTTGGCAATCTCCTAAAAGTGAGATGAAACTAAGGATTAGAAACCAGCATCGAAAGAGAACATTTTAAATGTATGCCCATTGAAGGGGGTAGAGCCGTGGTGGCGAACTTATGGCACGCGTGCCACAAGTGGCACGCAGAGCCCTCTCTGTGGACACACGCGCCATAGCCCCAGTCCTAGGCCTTCAGTTGGGTTTTATAAAACCTTTTCGCTTTAGGCGTGTACAAAAAAAAAAGGTTCAATCAATCAATTTCAACTTCTCGCAGGGAAAAAAAAGATCTCGCAAAGTTGGAATTGATTGATTGAACTTTTTAGTCCCACCCAGTGTGCCGTTACCACCACAGCCACGCCCACCCAATTGGTCACACCCACCCAATTGGCCATGCCTGCCCAATTGGCCACGCCCACCCGGCACCCAACGATACATAAATGGGTTTTGGGTTGGAGTTTGGGCACTCGGTCTCTAAAAGGTTCGCCATCAATGGGGTAGAGGAAAGGGAAAAATCTCATTAATAGAGAACTTTTATTTCTTTGATTTGTAAGACATCAAATCTATTCATAACCCCTAGCAACAAAAGAACCATAATGTAATACAACAAGAAATTATCCAAAGACTTTGAACAGTACAATTTGCACCTGGATGACAAGGATTTCCACAGTTGTGTTGCCCACAGGGCAATTTTCGTCCACAGGGAAGTTGACACGACCACTCTTTCATGCTGCATCTCCGTGGCAATGGTTTACCCTTTTTGCAGTAGCAAGTTATTATTACCATCTTTGGACAAGGTGGACAAGGACCTAAGGAGCAAAAACCAACATTGAGAAGTTAACATATTAATACAACTATGACTTCAGTTTAATAGACATCAGATGTAATGGGCCAGAATTCTAATACACACAAGCACTGGAAATAACAGACAAGTCTATTGTATCAAAAGTAGTCCAGAGGAAGCAATTTTAAAGCACAACGTCATTTGTGGGTGGTGTCTTACTGCAAATGACGTTGTGATGGACATCACTTATAAATGATGTGGATAGCTATGACTGATGTTGTTTGAAATTTAACAGACATCTGGGAGCGAGAGGGGCTCCCATGCTAATTTGAGCTGCCTAGGCCCTAGATCAGAGGTAGGGAACCTTGGCTCTTTTATGACTTATGGACTTCAACTCCCAGAATTCCTGAGTCAGCATGGCTCAGCTTGGAAACCTCTCCCTTTCCCCTCAGCATGGCTGGCTCAGGAATTCTGGGAGTTGAAG